GGTAGCAACTAAAACCATCCCAAAGAAAAAGAAATGCAAGAAAGCAAAATGGCTGTCTGAGGAAGCTTTACAAATAGCTGAGGAAAGAAGGGAAGCAAAAGGCAAGGGAGAAAGGAAAAGATACACCCAATTGAATGCAGAATTCCAGAGAATAGCTAGAAGAGATAAGAATGCCTTCTTAAATGAACAGTGCAAAGAAATAGAAGAAAACAATAGAATAGGGAGGACCAGAGATCTCATCAAGAAAATTGGAGATATAAAGGGAACATGCAAAGACGGGCATGATAAAGGACCAAGAGATTAAGAAGAGGTGGCAAGATTACACAGAAGAACTATACAAGAAAGAGCTTAACATCCCTGATAACAAGGATGGGTTGGTCACTGACCTTGACCAAGACATCCTGGAATGTGAAGTCAAATGGGCTTTAGGAAGTCTGAGCAACAACAAAGCTAGTGGAGGTGACAGTATTCCAGCTGAGCTGTTCAAAATCTTAAAAGATGACATAGTGAAAGTGCTACACTCAATATGCCAGCAAATTTGGAAAACTCAACAGTGGCCACAGGATTGGAAAAGGTCCGTTTACATGCCGATCCCAAAGAATGTTCAAAATACCGCACCATTGCACTCATTTCACATGCCAGCAAAGTTATGTTCAAAATCCTACAAGCTAGATTCAAGCAGTATGTGGACTGAGAACTACCAGAAATACAGGCAGGATTTTGAAGAGGCAGAGGAACTTGAGATCAAATTGCCAACATACGCTGGATCATAGAGAAAGCTAGGGAGTTCCAGAAAAACATCTGCTCCACTGACTCTGCTAAAGCCTTTGATTGTGTGGATCACAACAAATTGTGGCAAGTTCTTAAAGAGATGGGAGTACCAGACCATCTTATTTGTCTCTTGCGAAATCTATATGCAGGTCAAGAAGCAACAGTGAGAACTGGACACGGAATCACTGATTGGTTCAAAATTGAGAAAGAAGTTTGGCAAGGCTACATACTATTGCCCTGCCTATTTAACATATGCAGAGCACATCATGAGAAAGGCGGGGCTAGATGAATCACCAGTTGGAATTAAGATTGCTGGGAGAAATATCAACAACCTCAGATATGCACATGATACCACTCTAATGGCAGAAAGTGAAGAGGAACTAAAGAGCCTCTTGATGCAGGTGAAGAAGGAGTGCAAAAGTTGGCTTGAAACTCAACATTAAGAAAACTAAGATCATGGCATCCAGTCCTATCACTTCCTGGCAAATAGATGAGGAAGAAATGGAGGTAGTGACAGATTTTATTTTCCGGGGCTCCAAGATCACTGCAGACAGGAACTGCAGCCAAGAAATTAAAAGACGCTTGCTTCTGGGGAGGAAAGCTATGGCAAATCTAGACAGCATGCTAAAAAGCAGAGACATCACTCTGCCAACAAAAGTGCATATAGTCAAGGCTATGGTTTTCCCAGTTGCAATGTATGGCTGTGAAAGTTGGACCATAAGGAAGGCTGAGAGCCAAAGAATTGAGGCCTTTGAATTGTGGTGCTGGAGGAGACCCCTGCGAGTCCCTTGGACTGCAAGGCAATTAAACTGATCAGTCAGAGGAGATCAACCCTGACTGCTCTTCAGAAGGCCAGATACTGAAGATGAAACTCTAATACTTTGGCTACCTAATGAGAAGGAAGGTCTCCCTGGAGAAGAGCCTAATGCTGGGAACTATTGACGGCAAAAGAAGAAAGGGAAGGCAGAGAATGAGATGGCTGGATGGAGTCACTGAAGCAGTCTGCGTGAGCTAAAGTGGACTCCGGGGGATGGTTGAGGACAGGAAAGCCTGGAGGAATGTTGTCTATGGGGTCACGAAGGGTTGGACACAACTTCACAACTAACAACAACAAGGTCTGTTGCATGTCCTCTAGCAATAACTAGCTGGTGCATGACTGAAAATTCCAAAAGGAGAAGGCAGTTTTGTCTATGCAATGTTTGGAACAGTTTTAGTACAGTTCTCAGTGAGAGGGTAACCAATGTCTGGACTGCCATACTACAGTTAGGGCTCACATCCTTGAATGATTCTTCATACAAAAAAATCGATACAGTCAACATATCTGCAATTCTTCATACATATATTTGGGAGTTAGATCCAGTAGAATTTCCTTCTGAGTAAACAAGCATGGATTTCTAGAATGATGGCTGTGTTATTTGCTGCAGCAAATACAAGCAAATACTGTGGCACCTTAAGGTCATACAATTTTTTTACTGATTTCTACTTTCATGGCCTTTGACACTTTATGCCAGAATAAATGTGTTAGTTTTTAAGGTATTACATGACTCTTTGTTGCTTATGCATAGGACTGGGCTGTCTGTCAATGCATCATGCTGGTTTTTAATCCTGACTATTAAATGATCTCAGTACCTGCAGTAAGGCGCTCCCGAGTGTACCACAGTGCAAATCCATCCCCATGCAGATTCTTCTTCCCTATTCCATGTATCTTGAAGTGAACATGGAGCTCCCAATCCTTTAGAAAGCAGGGCTGGAAGACATAATATTGCCCTAAGCACTTTGGGAAATTATTTTCAAAATGCTTTAGCAGGGATTATTCACTTTTCTAACTAATCACAGCGTGTCTCATTTCAGTACCTTTTCCCCCTACTGAAATCACACTCACCACTCGGTTCCAGATAGAGCCCTCCTTGCTGCGCTCATCAGGGGTCAATCGAACATACTGGCTAGTCAGCATGGTGCTCCCTTGAAAATCCCAGAGGGGCATTGAACTGGAGCCAACCCCTAAAACACAGGAGATACCATGGAAATTATAAATTACAGATAGATGTACACTTTATTAGAGAACATTTGATGCTACAAACTAGAATACCGAGAGTGAAACAGTGTACTGAAACTAGGTTTGCCACCACTTTGAAAAGATGGTGGAAAATTGTGTTCTTTCTCTTGCTTCTTCTGTTACTATTCTCTAGAAATATTACTACAGAATAGTAATCAACAAATAGTAAACATCAAATAAAATTGGTGGGAATAACCCCATTAGGTTTTATCAACCAGTTAGGTGGGACCTTCTTCTGAATATCTGTGTTTTATACAAAGGAAAGCCTCCTGTCTCTGACTTCCAGAATGAAGGGGCTGTCCTGGACTCAGGGAGGCTTGTTGAGTTTTTCTTGCCAGGTATCCGTGGGAAACTGTGCGCGCCTAACTTAGAAGGTGCTATCCCACGGCGCTTTGGTTTTCCTCTCGACTTCCTAAAACGAAAAGGCCAATCCCTCCCTCGCCCAACAACGCTCGGAGACAGGCAGGCTCCGAAGGGCTCCAGAGAAAAAGACACGGAGGAGAAAGGGGATGGATCAGCGGACTGCACGCCCCTGCCCACTCCACGCACCCTGGTAAGGCTTGATGAGCGAATGCTCCCGTTTTAAGTGCTCGCTGTTGCCATCTGTGAGCTCTGCGGCTCCTCGTGGCGCGATCGCGGCCAGAAGAAGCTGAAGCAGCAGCAAGGGCGACTGCACCATCCCTGCCGCCAGCCCTCGCAGGCTCCGCGCGGATCTGCCGCTGCCTCCACCTCCGCCTCCCGGCCCTACTCGCAATCTACTCCCTCCTGCCTTTGGCCTTCCTGCTTCCGGGAGACTCTTAGCCCGGAAGCAAACAGCAAGGAAACTGAAACCAGAAGGGCGTCTCTATAGCCGACCGAGCTCCATGGCCGAAGCTCCTCCTCTGAGGGCCGTGGAGATAGAAAAGGTGAAGAGCAACGCACGCCCCCAGAATTAAGGGTGCAGTTTAGGCTTGACGTGTCTGCACGCGAGTGGCTGGAGTCAGCGCCTGCTATAATCCTTCCAGCTCAAGCGCGCTTTTCCCCCCATCTCCCACCCCCGCAATGATACGTTACATGCACCGGTTGTGTGTCATAAGCTTCTTTTTCTCGGCATTTCCACCCCCTTTTCTCTGTCTGCGATTGGAAGGTGTTAGGAGTCGACTACATAACATGAATGTTGTAAGCATTCTGTCAGTCCGACCTTAGTAAATTGAGTTATAATGCTAGACTACAGTGCAGAAATTTTAGAGGCAATTTCTAAGTTGGCCTGGGCGGGGCAACCTTATATTTGCTGTAGTGTGGTTATATTTTTTTTAAATCTATATTCTGTATTTTTAAATTTGTATTTCCAATTATGAAGAGAAAAAAAGTGTCATTACATCAACTGAAACTCCCTCTGTCCTATTCATATTCAGCCTGAAAAGAGAAGGAAAGAAAACACCCCCAGAAATCCAAAATGCTGTTCAAATGACAGATACACAGCCTATTTTTCATTTCTCCCTTTCTCAGAAATCATTGAGATGTTATTCAATTTACTTCTACATAATGATACTAATGGTTGTGCTATTAGATTATTTTTTCCTATTTTCAACATTCATAAGACACATGCTTTATATACATTCAAGTGCTAATATTTTAATGTTTGTAATATTACCCCCACAATTTTTGTGTGTATTGGGGAGGCAGACTCCATGTTCCTGGAAGAAAGCTCGCTACTGTGTCCTTCTGTGACCACCCCCATCCCCCCCCAAAAAAAAACCCTACCATAAATGATGTGCAAATTTTAGAGCTTGTCTATTGATTGAAACAGAAAATGTGCACAGGCCAGGACCATATTCCACTTAAGCACTCTATACAGAAAATGTTGTTTACTGCATTGCATACTGCACTAGCCACATTCACAAAAATCAGAACTTCTTGCAGTTTGATCCTATTCATTAGAGATGGGGAGCATATGATTTTCCAGATGATGTTGGACTGCAGTTTTCATCATTTCTCACCATTGGCTAAGCTGACTTGAGTTGATAGAACTTGCAGTACAGCAACATCGATGGTTCCTTGCAGAACTTATATAGTGTTGTTACTCACAAAAATTAAGCAATGCTTACACCTAGTATAGCTTCACGTGTGAGTTTAGCTTGTTTAAAGAAAATCCTGTTTTCCCTGCAATTGTACCTTGAATTAATAGCTTTCTGTCTCTTTTTAAAACAGCTGATTAGTTGTTCCTTGCTTGACTGTAGATAGAACATTCCTGAATTGCCTTTAATTACTTTCTGTCCCCTTAAGAAGCTTTTCCTGATTTCCTTTTTTCCAACCAGAGCAACTGTTCATTTCTTTTTCATTCTCAAAATTTCAAAATATATATTTAATTTCAAGGAGAAATTACTAATTAAAGCCTTGTCCAGCAAATGATACCTAATTAAAGGCCAAATCAGAAATACTCTGACATGAAATAAACAAGAGCAACTAACTTGTGACTTTGAAATGGGCAAGGAAGCATCTGCTAGCCCTGAATGACATCAACAGCTGTATTTTTTTGTTGTAAATGATGGAGAATCTGCTTTGAGAAAAGATGGGAGGGCAGTACAGAAAACATTGAAGTACAATGGGTCAGTACCATTGCCTGGGTGCACCATAAAAACAGAGTTAACAAATTTTGTACTTTCAGAAAAAGTGTTAGTATGGAACAGCCATGGCCTCTCATTTAATCCTTGCATTCTGGTGTTGAAATCCACTCCAATGGAGAAGGAAGATGATCAGCCCAGATTTCACACATTTTTACCCACCCACTCAGAAATTAATACCAGATTAGAGCCTACAGGCCACTTTACTTAAACAAAACTCCCCTGTTGTAGTCCCACCTCAGGATAATCCTTGGTGGTGGGAATTCCTAGATTAGCAAGAGTGTACACAGTTTTATGAGGTGTACATAAAACTCCCCCCACCCCCCACATCACTATTGAATAGAAAGACTTTGGCAGTGTGGGGCTTTCATTTACCAATCCTGAGCAGTGGGCAGTGTAACTCTGTCAGCTGCAAGGAGTACATGAATGGGACACACTTGTATCTGACAATTTCAAGGATTCATGAATTTTCTGTAGCAGTTCCTCTGGATCAGTTACACAGCAGAGGATATCAAGCTCAGAATGAAATATTTTCCCTGGATATCTTGCCTTCCAATTTGTTTCCTCTTGAATTTTCTGCTCAGTTAGTAATGCAGGAAATTGCATAATTATTCTACATTAGACAGCTTTCATTGTCATTACTTTAATTTGCCATTGATAAATGGAAAAGGGAAGAAATTAAAATTACAGGGACTGGAAGCCTTAGAATGCATTTCTGGAGTTCAGTAATGGCTGTGAAAGTGTAGCTACTGCATGCAGCAAATTTTAAAGCAAAGGGCACTCTGTGCAGATGTTAATGGGTGAACATGTGCACTCAGGGTGTTTACAGAGTCAACACATAGCATGTGTCCAATGGCAATGTTCATTTTATGTTCGATGTTTGCACTGGGATTTTCAGTGCTTCTTGCAAGAACTTTGTCATGATTACAACTGCTATATTATTTCAAAATTCTGGCCTTGTTTCTTCATTTCAGGTAGGGGGGAAATGTTGTTCATTGATCAAATCAGCCATTTAAGAAAACTCAGGGCGTTATACCAGAGAACCTTCCTTTCTTGATCTGGATTCTTGGGTGAAGTCCTGATGGTGCATTATGCCTTTTGTACTTCTAGTCTGTAGCCTCTGGGGAGTCTGTAGAAATGAAACTCCCATTCTGTATTCTGTGCTGTCACTTTTTCCGACTTGTGATCTGACTGCAAATCCAGTTCATACCATCCTAGAAAGGCGAGACAGACAATAAGCAACAAACAACTCTTAATGTTTGTCAGCACCAAACCGCTCAATTTGTGACTGTTGTCGCTGAAATATCCTTACACCTGGTCACATCCTCTTCGCTCTCACGTACACTCACCCCTTCATACCTGAACTCCTTCACCAGAAAGTGCTGAGCAGGCTTGGATTTGCCATGGCCGGTCTCGATATGTGTGAAGGTTCAGCCCTTCAGCAATCTCTGCAGCAGGGGACGCTGTTGCTAGATCCTGTTTGTTAGCAAACACCAACAAAGGGACGCCAGTGAGGGTTTCCTCTTCCACTAGTTCTGACAACTCCTGTCAAAAACCCAGAGAACCCAATTAATTACGAGTTCATCAGAAGAAGTTAGATCAGGACCCATCCCCACGAATTTATGTTACCAACTATGGATGTGACCTTGGAGCACAAATTCTCTGGCAGCCGAGAACTTGTCTGTGAAGTTCTGTGCTCAGCAAAATGATGCACATTAAACTATGAAAAGTTGGCAGTTGTGAGGTTGACACCAAGCTGGTACTCTGGACACTTGGTTCCACTTTTAGGCTCGGCTGTTATTGATCATTTTTCACCCCATTTTGTATCCATTCCCTGACATAGAGTGCAATACGTTCAGATTGCTGAACAAACATTCCTCAGTAGCTCTTCCTGAAGGATGGAGTTGTGGAACTAGAAGGCAAGTGCCATTCATCCTACCTGTCCAGTTTCTTCAAAGCGCTTCTGGTCAGCACTGTCAATGACATAGATCTGTAACCATAAAAAGAGAGTATCACCAATTGCCCACCGCTATCCCTTTGGCTGTCAACTTCTCTTACCAGCCCCTGTTGATAGACAAACAATTCCTGAAGCCTAAAATTCGTTGGCCCTTTAGGATATGGCTCCTTTAAGGCTTGTTATTTGTTTTATGAAACAGAAAATCCAAATCCACACACACACACATCCCATAGCTGTAGAATGCTAAAAATAAAATAAATAACCATTTGCTATCCCTACAGGGTACGCCTCTTATGTACCATCTGAGCCAGGTTAGCTAAAATTGCTGAAGAATAGGGCTGGCCATACCCTAAACTTTCACTGTCCACTGCTTCCTGCAGCCATGTTACAGCACAGATAGTTTTGGGGGCTGGGCCCCATACTCACCAATGTGTCTGTACTGCCCAGATACTTCTTCCAGTAGGCCCGAATGGCTCGCTGGCCACCTATGTCCCAAACATTAAGCTTAAAACCATGAGAGTGGACACTCTTGATGTTGAATCCCTATGAAAGGGAAACAGAAGGGGGACAGAAGAACCATTGCATGATCTTACGGATTGTTTGTAAGCTGGAGGCCTAATGAAGCGCAGAGATGAAACCAACAACAACCTGTGAGGAAGATTAAAACCTCACCAGTTTTGTGGAAGTCGCCACTATTTCTCAATTCATACAACACTGACAAACTCTCAGTCTTTTTGCCAGTGAATGGGGAGTTACAGGTTATTTTTTCTGTCTGTGGCATGAATGTATTCAGCAGGCCTAAAAGTGAGATCCCAACACATTTCTAAAGGTCTTTAAATGGAAAGCTCTTCCAGCTGGATTGGCATGGCTATAGGCAATAGAGAAGGGGGATTTGTGATATAATCCAGTACACGTTTACTGAGAAATATATGCCACTAATTTCAATGGGCCTTCCAAGGGCAATCCTATGCATGGCCACTCGGAAGCAAGTCTTATTGCATTTGATGGAATTTATTCTGAATTACATATCCCTGTGTATTTTTAGACAGAAAAGAGTTCTCATATTCCTAGCTGCCCCAGCCAGCTATGCTGGGTAAACACACATATATGCCTTAAGGTACAATGCAATGCATGTTTGGAAAGGGGGGAAAAAAGACTTGCACTTTTCATATGCCCCAGAATGCTGGAAATTGTAAGACTTTTTTTCTGCCTAAACATGCATAGGATTGCACCCTTAGGCTCAAATTGCATGTTGGGTGGAATATAAGAGTACCCTGAACTCTTGCTTACATGAAGAAAAGCTGCTTTCCACAGTGGCAACTGACAGAGAAATGCTTGGGGTGGAACCTTCTTTATATATGCATGTGCGCTCGTGCTTGTGTGTGTGCACCCCGCCCCCCTCAGCGCAATCAGCAGCAGCTTTCCCTGATCTAACCATACAGACAATCAATATATTGTTTAAATCGACATGTGTGTATATATAATTTAGACCTTAGTTTGAACATTCAGGATTTGAATGACATATGTACAAATGTGTGTGATAGACCCCCTGAAGCTCTCTGACAGCTACTGCTTCAATGACCTGGAAGAGAGGGTGACAAGTCTGCTAATCAAATTTACTAAAATGGGGGCAGCGGCTGTAACTGAGGAGCAGGTACTCCAGATCCAGAAGGATCTGGACAGACTATGGAAGTGGGCTGGGGACAACAGGATGGCGTTCAAGGTGCAAGGTCTTGCACTTGGGGCAAGAAATGGGTGTCATAAGTACAGGTTAGGGGACAAGTGGCTGGAGAACAGCACTTGTGGAAAGGGGCTCAGGGTGCTGGTCAACTGCAGGCTAAACATGAGTCAGCAGTGTGATGCAATGGTCAAGAGGGCAAATGCCACTCTTGGTTGCATAGCCAGAAGCGTGGCTTCTAGCTCAAGAGAGGTATTACTGCTACTCTATACGACTCTGGTGCAGCCGCAGCTGGAATATTGTGTTCAGTTCTGGGCCCCTCATTACATAGCAAGGTTGGAATCAGTGCAGTGAAGGGCCAGAAGGATAGTGGCTGGTTTGCAGGGAAAGCCATATGAGGAGAGACTGAAGGAGCTGGGTCATTTCAGCCTGGAGGAGACTCAGAGGGGAGCTGTTAGTGACATACGGGTATGTGAGGAGGTGTCACGCAGAGGTGGGTCATGACCGTTTTTTCCCCTGCGGAAGAGGGGCATTCCAATGGAGCAAAGCTCAGGAAACCAAGATTCAAGGTGGATGCCAGGAAGTACTTCCTGATGGTTAGGACCCCTAGGGCCTGGAATGGGCTCCCGCAGGAGCTGGCTGAAGCTCCATATGTGAGGGTGTTCAAGGATAGGTGGGACATGCAAAAAGTAGGCATGTTATGAGTGCAGCCGGCAGGAGTCAGGGGTCAGACTAGATGGCCCAGGAGACCCTTCTGACCTACTCTGTTTCTATGTTTCTATGCTTCTGAACAAGAATTTCAGGAGAGAATGAAGATGTGCATTTGGGAAGTGGTGCCATGATACTAATGCCCCCCTTTCCTCTGCTGCAAATTATAGTGAATGGTCTCTATGTACTGTAGTTTGATCCTATGATACCTTCAGGGCTGGCCCTGCTATGAAGCAAAGTGAAGCAGTTGCCACAGGCAGCAGATTCTCGCTGTTCTAAAGCAGCTGCAGATCATTTGTTATCTACCTTGTTACTGCTGTTGCCAAAGGCAGGAAGACGAGCTTTTGGAGTTTTCTGCCTAATGCACCAAATAGCTTGACTGACTGCTTGGCTAGGTGAGCAATCAAATGTCTTGGACTCGATGCTGAGGACTCAGAGGAGCAATGTTTGTCTGAAATCTGTCAGGTTACCTCCCCCATACCAATTGCCTAGCTACAAGCTTGCCACAATTTCTACTGACATTTTGATGTCCAAGGAGCTGCTGTGAGCATGTTCTGAAGGTATGTCTCTTTTCGGCTCCAGGGGAGTTGAGGGTGGGTGTAAGCAGAACGGGGAGGGTTAGGATCAGGCTTGCCAATCTACTTATTTAAGACTTGGTGTAACTAGTTATCCAGTTCAGCCTCGTCACAAGATCCATCCATACTCTTTGGTACTGACCATCTTTGCTACGGTCCTCACCTGCGTGGGGGTGATGGTGCTGACCTCTTCTGATGCCAGACACTTGAGCAAAGTGGTCTTTCCAGCATTGTCCAGCCCTAGCAGGACAATTCGCAACTCCTGCTCTTCAGAGCCTTTGAGCTTTTGGATGACTGAAAGAAGCCCCTGTGGAACGAAAAGGGAAGTGTAATGGCTGGAGACTGTATCCTTATTTGTGCTCCAGAACCGAACAAAATGACAAGGCTAGGCCTAGTGAGGCAGTAAAGGATATTTCTGTGCTTGCTGTACCAGCACCAAGGGCTCACCTCTCATCAATTTCTGTTGCTGTGACTACACTTTCTTTGGGCAGGGACCACTCTCTGTTATCCTGCCCTCCATTCCTGGCAGCCAGCTGTGGCCAGCATTGCTCCTGCAGCCAGAACAATACCACCCTCACACAGGAGGGATCAACAGGCCCTGGGAGAGCTGCAGGCTTTGCAGATACACATTGAATCTTTGGGTGGGTGGAAACCCGTGGAGCAACTCCCAAAACAGCCCAATGAGGACTGTGCGTGTTTAGCCAGCACAAACGGCCAATGAGTGGGGAAGGGGAAGCCAGGTGGGAGGGAGAATGGAGCGGAGTGTTGTGGCAGAAGGTATGGCAACACACCGCACTGTAACGCTTCGTTACAGGCCCCACTTGTTGCAGATACTGAGCAGTCTCTGAAGCCACTTCTGGGGCAGCAGGTTGGCAGTAGATCTTGCCACAGAGTGGGGACAAAGGGTCACTCTGGGAATGAAGCCCCTTCCCCTCCCAGGGCCAGAATGTACTCACCTTCTGCACTTCGCCCATGGTCAAGCTGTCTACATCCTTCGCAGAGCCAACTGTGGAAGTCCTGCTGGCGGCAAAGTCCCTGCTGCGTGACTGACATGCCAGGCACCAGCAGGCAGAAGGAAGGGGATTATGGCTCCAGAATTAGCTTGTGTTTCTCCATTTATCCAGGGTGTTCTGTAATACCCTAGGTAAATCCCCCCTGCCAGCTGTCATCCTGGCTTGACCCAGTCTGGTCCTTCCTACGGAAGAAAGGTGCCATGTCTGCCCAGCCAAAGTTAATCACATACCTGGGTTGGCCTCTCCCTCCCTGCATGGTTGAGGGGGGGATTGTGTCCATTCAGGAGACCTGATGGTCAGACTGGTTGGTTGTGGTTCCACAAAGAAGGGGTCAGGAGACAATTTGGCTTGAATTTAAATTCAGTAAATTTGCAGGATTTTCTGCCAGTGGGGTCAATCCCAGCAATAGATGTTTTTCTCTTGCTTATGAGACCTATTTCAAGGTTTTATAAGGCTCCTTTGCTTGGAAGGAGCACTCCCATGTCTTATAGTACTAATCTAGTTGAACAGCTCCTAGACAGAGTGAAAAATTAAAGGGTGAACCTACTGTAGTTCTAACAGTAGGAAATGAATGGCATTTCAGTTTCCTACAGCCTTTTTTTTTTTTTTGGCTGGGGGAGGTGACATATTGCACATCCAGCCTCACTCCATGCATGTCTGAATTGCTTAACTTTATGAAATTCAACATATATTTAACACATTTACTGGGCATCTTGTTTGTAAGCACAGTCATTAAACTGAACTAGTCTTGGGGTCTTGCAGCTCAACAGGGTGCAACAGCCAGAACAGTCAGTGGGAACCAAGAGTGCAAATGGCACTGAATTACTGAAGGTGGCGCCTAAGCAGCCCCTGAAGAGCCCGAAAAGCATCTTCCTGGACTGACTGGATGGGGAGCAAAATGGCAGATTCCATTCACTGCAAATGTAAAGTGATGGACATCAGGGCTATTTAAATTATCATCATCCTGGTTTCACCTTTTCACTGATGGAATCTGCACTTACTGTGCCTGTCCAGGAAAGATACCTTGTTTCTGACGAACACTGAGGTCATCACAGTTTAATATGTATTGCACCAAATGACCAGAATGACGGGAGAGCTTATTGTTTAAAAAGGTCAGTCCCTTTACCACAAAGATAAACGCTGTAGGATAATTCAAAAACTGCTTTGGTCTGCAGATATATATACATTTTGGCCCTTTATTCAGTTTATTGGTTGGACTCTCTTTTGAACTTTCACATAAATAAGGAAGTGGGAACTGGTAACTAACTTCAGCATTTTGGATAGCACAATGAAAACATTGACTTAATAGGTAGCAACAGCAGAAAAACCCAAATTCCACACTAGGGATGATTAGGAAAAGGACTGAAAATAAAATGTCCATTCTCATAAAGTCTTTATATAACTCTGTGGTGCAGCCTTATTTGGAATATGGTTGATGGTTGCTCAGTCTCAAAAAGGATATTGTGGAGCTGGGAAAGGTGAAGAAAAAAATAAAAGCAGCCCCAAAGATTAAGGGCCTGGAGTATGTTTTGTACGTGGAAAATGTAAAGGGTTGGATGCTTTTTTGTTTAAAACTCAACATCAACTAAAGGGGAGCATAGCAGAAGCTTATAAAAGTATGCATAGCTTCACAAAGTCCATGTTTCTTGTTCATAATACTAGAACTTGAGATCTTCCAGTAATTGATTGCAGCAGGTGCAAAACACATAAAAATAAGCATTTCACATAATGCATCATGAACTTATGACATTCATTGCCACACATTGTAGTTATGTCAATTGGTTGATGAGACAATAAAAGATGATATCAGTCAAATTAGTGACAGAGAGGGGTCTATCAAGAGCTGTTAACCCTGATAGATAAGCAGTATCTTCTTCTTCAGAGATCTTGTTTTCCCAAGGGACAGTCGCTGAATGTGGGGTGTGAAAGCAATGAGAGAAACTGAGAAGAGGCACCGCTGCTACTTTCATGCTCTGCTTCTGGGCTTCCTGTAAGTCTCTTATTGGCCACAGTTGGAGATAAGATGTTCTAGATGATGATCCTTTGGTCTGACCCAGCACAGCTCTTTTCAAATTCTTCAGTGTCTCCTTACAGTAGAGATGTGTAATGTGTGATTCTTCAGATGTTGTTGGACTACACTTTTCATGACCATTGACCTCTATCCATTGGCCATTCTGGCTGGGGACAATAGGAGTTGGAGTTCCAACATCTGGAGGGCCACACAAATTCCCAGTCTCTGCTCTATGGCAGTGCTGTAGGTTAGGAATGAGAAAGTGGTCGGGAATATTTTTATCATCCCCCGCAGCTGGGCTGCACTTCTGCTGCTCTAAAGAATTCTGCTGCTCTAAAGCAGCAGCAAATGCTAAGTGACCACTTAGCTTGAAAACAAGCTATCTGGCCATGATAGAGTTCTGTAGGGGTTGCTGCAAACCTGCGGAAGGTTTGCAGTTGCAATTTTGATGACATGGCAGTGCCGGTGGGCTGCAGACTGCACTGGGGGAGCAGGAAGGCTTACAGGCAGTCCATATGTCATGTGTAGGCCACTGTCTGCTGCTGTAGTTAGTAAGAAAGGACTCCGTTTCTGGTGAGATAAGTCACAATTGTCTGCAGGCTTACAGGCAACAGATTCTTGGAAAACCCTGTTCATAAATCATTGACTATTAACAGGGGAGGACAGGACTCCTGTGCCTTTTCACACCACAAAAGAAAAACCAAGCCCAGTAGAACCCTTCTTATCTAAGCTGGAAACAGTTGCTATTTTTTTTAATATTGAATTTACATCTCACCTTTTTTTCTCTTGTGCTGAACTCAAGACAGCTCCATTTTAGCTTCACAACAGCAACCCTTTGAGATAGGTTAGGTTGAGATTGAGGGACTGGCCCAAAGTCACCCGATACACTTCATGGTAAAGTGGGGACCAGAATCTGGATCTCCCAGGTCCTCAGTCCAGCGCTCTAACCACTGTATCACACTGGCTGACATAGTTGTATTACATGGATATAAGGAAATATACTATGGTCAGTAGTAGTTATACATAAGTTTCAACAAAGGTAAGCCAAATATTTCTGTATTTATCCATGTGTAGGTGATGCCTAAATACCACCCATTCAGAGGTTGAAAGACTCAGTGTTCTTAGTCCACTGTGTTATTAACGATTACTGTTTTTTCGTTCAGTGTTATAATGTCACTCATTTAGCTGTCATTTTGGGTGCAGAAAATACATTAAATACCAAAATAATTAAAACATGTACATCCATAAAAGTTAAAGAATGTTTCAATGCAACTTTTATCCTTTTATAAGCTCCTTCCAAAAGGAGGCAGCTATTAGGCATTGCCAAAAAATATTGGTGAAGGAAGCATTAGCTGTCTCACACTTCCAACTTAGCCAAGCCTTTATTGAAGGGACATGGTAGCATCCAATATACACAGAACAGAAGCTTTGGTTCAACAAGATGTAACCTAAGCGCTAGTGACACTTCCTATAACATGTTATAGCAGCATTCCATTGATTAGGCAAAACAATAATTCACTAATTCTTGATGAAGATCCTGTGTCTTATCTTCAACTGACAGTAAGAATTTATGTAACCATATCGTAGAACAGTAAATCTGATCAGCATTAACAAAACTTCTAAAAGCAGAGAAGACTCTGAAGCAGCGAATGCTGCAGGGTTGAATGTGTACATTTGGTTATACCCCCACTGAGGGTGAGTTCTATTTGGCGCAAAGAATGGAAAAAGGAAGTTATAATCAACTCCCACTAGTGATCCAGTGTAAGAATCTGCTTATGCATCCAGGTCTGCCATATGAATGTTTTCTTACCTATTTTTAGATATGAGTTTCCCCATACAGTTAATTTAGCATGTGAAAATGGGTCAAACTGCAACTTTCTCATATTGCTGAAACTGCAGGAGGTATCCACTTCCATTTTATAGCGTGAAATGCTTCCTTAAGGTTGTATCCTGTCATGTCATTCTGCCTTCAGAGTTGGCCCACTAGTGGAACAAATTTCCCCCTTTCCCTGCACCCCTCCAGATCTGCTCTGGAGGACAGGGGAACCCTCAGGAGCAGATCTGGCCATATGTCTGGGGGAGTCCGCAGAAGGGAGGAAAAGATAGGGAATCCTGTCATGGGAGAAGAAGCCTTGTGTGACTGTATTTCTGTTCACACAATGGTTGGATCAGAACTTTAGCTGGCAGGAAAGGGTGCACAGATGGGGATTCACTGCAGAGCACTCTGGGAAATACAGAAGATGGAATGAGGCAAACCCAAGGCCATCTGCCACTGGCTACCTAATATGTTTTAAAACAATGTTAAGCCAAGACTTGTTGCCAGTTGGATCCATTTGTGTCTGGTTTTAAGCCTGGTTTTTTCCCACAGTAACTCTCAGCCACCATAATGGGTGACCATTGCCAGGAGAGAAACTGGACAAGTACGGCCTTGCTGGTTCTCCTCTTGATGGCTTTTTGGCCCATATCGATGTGGCATCCTTCTGGATATGTTGTGTCTGGATTGGGAGTTGAAGGCTATGCCTTCCAGTACATTCCTACCTGGGTTGTGGGTGATTTCAGAAGGAAATGTTGAAGACAAGTCCCTCTCAATTTCCTTGAGCATTTATGCAGTTGATCTCACAGGCTCAGCCCTGAGTCCCTGCACTTTTTGATAGCTATACGAAACTGCAAAGCAAGGTGTTATTCAGAGATTAAAAGTGAAGTGTCAGCCACATGGAGACAAGCCAGCTCTAGTTCTTTGTGTCACCTAACTCAGATGAAGCAGGAAGTCTAATTCATCTCTCTAACTTAATTCAGGAAATACTAAGCAGGAATTTACCACAGTAAGCAAATAAGTGCCAGCCAGCAAACTGGGGCTCGATATTGATGCGACTGAGACCCCATTAGTAGGTACTTCAGCTGCACCTGATTACTTGGCTGCATGGATATGTCATGTTCCTTGAGTACTCTA